ATCTAATATAATTATGTATACGTGCTCCGGGCAATGAATGCCTTGGCAACATAACATCATCTCCATCAGCCGTACTACTTCTACTGTTCTACCGCCTCCCCCTTAGAACGCCACAACGAACTCTTTGCCACTTTTGCAACGAACGAAAGCCACTTTGTCATTTGCATCCACCGGTTCTCCGCGAATCTTACGATGGTCTGCCACCTAGAGGGTCCCAAACTAAAATTTTGTTCTAAGCTCATTCACTCAACAAAAAATACAAAATGTAAATGACATTTTAGACGATACTTAGTGGGAAGTCAACCGGCCATATAGCTCGTAGAGCCGACAACCGATGGGGAGCACACCCGATGGAACTCGACACGTACCAACAGTCGAGGCACCGCACTCGACTCGCTATCCGACAGGCTCGACTTCGAAGTCGTAGCCCCTGTCGAACATACGCACTTTCCCTACATAGAGGGACACACATCGGATGTGCGTGATTTAGCAGTCGTCAAAAACATCAATTTGACCATGCACGATCCGGAAGTGATACATGAGCTTCACTCTGATCACCGACCAGTGCTTCTCCGGCTAGGGCCCTCAGCAATAGCCGCTCCCCAAACCAAGACAGTCATTAGTTGGCATAAAATAAAAACTAGATTTAACAAACCCAATCCTCCGTCATTAGAATCGATCCCCGATCAACTCAGTAACAAACAGGACACAGAGACCGCAATTCGAGCCCTCACGAGCCACGTCAACACCGTCGTCGAGCAATGCTCGAGACAGGTCCCAGCGATGGATGACCATCGCTGGGCCCTGCCAGACGATGTGCGCGACTTACTGAGACGCAAGAATGCGGCCACACGTACCTATGATAGATATCCCACCGACTCGAATCGTAGACTGCTACGTAAATTGCAGCGTGAGGTTAAAACACGCATAGCGGACTCACGAAACAAACGGTGGGACTCCACCTTAACTTCAATTAAACCGTCCCACCAAGCTTTTTGGAAACTCCCAAAATCCCTCCAGCCAGTACAAATATGCCACCAATAGTCCGCCCGATATGAACGCCAGAAATGCTGGACGAAGAGAAAGCCGAATGCTTGGCTGACAGTCTAGAGTCCCAATGCTCCCCTAGCATGCTTCCGGTCAACCCCGCACACCTCCGTATGGTGAACGAAGAGGTTGAAAGGAAAGCCTTAGAGCCACTCCGCGATCCCGTTCCCCCGGTCACGTGCTCAGAATTAGTTGACACTATTAAAAAATTACGCCCACGCAAAGCGCCTGGCTCAGATGGCATCACCAATAAGGTGATCAAACTCCTCCCTACTAGCATCCTTCAGATACTAGTAATAATATACAACGCGGCTTTAACAGAAGGCTTCTTCCCGTCCGAATGGAAGGAAGCTGATGTCATAGGGTTCCTCAAACCCTCCAAGCCCGCCACTCTACCAACCTCATATCGTCCAATAAGTCTTCTCAAAACTTTTGGGAAGATCCTTGAAAGACTTATATTAGCCCGCCTAAGATCCCTTATGGACTCCAAAGGCCTCCCCATCCCAGAACAGTTTGGATTTAGAGCCAAACATTCATGTACCCACCAAGTGCACCGCATCACGGAGCACATTTTAACTAAACGTCAACGTGGACTCAACACCGGTGCACTCTTCCTGGACGTGGCAAAAGCGTTCGACAAAGTCTGGCACAACGGGCTCGTATACAAGCTATACGGGTACAGAGAGGTGCCCCAAGGGTCGGTATTGGGCCCAGTCCTGTTTACGCTCTACACCAATGACATGCCGCGTGTTAAAGATGTAGAATTAGCCCTCTTTGCCGACGACACCTGTCTCTATACTACAGGCAGAACATCCAAAATAATCCATCGACGCCTCCAAGCCGCAGCCATCACCATCGGTGACTGGTTCCGCCGATGGAGGATCGAGATTAATCCCGCCAAAAGCGCGGCCGTCCTTTTTGCCCATAAAAACGTAGATAAACCACCCCCCGTTAAACTCATGGATAGTCCGGTACCATGGGTGAACAAAGTTAAATATCTAGGTGTCGTCCTTGACTCCCAACTTAGATTCAACCAGCATGTGACTCGGGTCAAGAACCGGGCGGCCTTCGTACTCGATCGCCTCCATCCGCTCCTCAACAAAACGTCTAAAATCGACTATCGCCATCGAAAGGATTAAAAAACTTCGCAAACACACCAACACAAACCTGGCAGGTTCTCCCCAGTTCAAGATAGAAGCGTTGCTGGAGTTTCTTCCGCCACTTCTTCTCCCAGTGCCAACGCTTTACGAAGTGGTAGTAATGATAGCTCTAGAGATCCCCCCAGTCAGATAACAGCTACCGATCGAGCCGAGGTCCGGCCCTCTCAGGCACCCTCGAATCGGAATGCTATACGCGTGTTGAGTGACAGCCCAAGCCGAGGTCCCCTCTCGGGGACCCTTGAGCCTGATCACTCCATGGAGCCCCTGCCAAAGCGCCCTAAGAGCTTGGCGGCCTCCCAAACCGGTGAAATAAATAGCGTGACGGCCCGAGCCGAGGTTCCTTCGGGAGCCCTCGAGCTTAGTCACCATAACGCGTAATAATAAATACGCGAGGTTCAGGCTAGGCGCCTCGGGCGCCCGGCCACCTCAAGTCCGTCGGAACTGTAAAGGTAAAGGCCCCTAAGGCCAACAGTGGCTCATCCAGCCCAAAAAAAAAAAACCCATGGGGAAGGAACGTTCTTAAGTGGCTGCCTCGTACTGGCCGTTGCAGTGTTGGACGAACCCCCACTAGATGGAGAGACGACCTATGCGGGAATTCAGTGGATGCAAGTGGCTCAGGATCGTGCTTCTTGGCAGTCTAAGGGAAGGCCTATGTTGAGTAGTGGTGTAAGTCTAACAGGTTGAAATTATAATGGACGGCTACATCATCATCATCACCTCCTTACCCTAAAGAGTAATTTGAGTTCCTTATCGACACTCACTGGCACTGTCTTCGCTCTGATAGTAACCCAACCTTAAAAATTCCCTCCTATAATACTTGCTTCTATTCTAAATCTTTTTCTGTCAGGCCTTAGAACTCCTTACCGCTTCGTATTCGGCGGACGCAACCTTTTGCTATTCTGCTGGTGTACAATAAGGCATATTTATTTCATAATAAAGTTATTATCAACGACACTATAGCAGTCGTACTTGTGATGGTTTAAATGTCACATTATTTTTTTTTGTACGTTCACATCAATTTCTAAATATTCACAGTCGTGTTCATCTCGCCAGCGTTTATTTCGATGGGTAAATTATAAAAAAAAAATTACAGACAAAGGTGAATTCATTTGTGACGTTATCAAGAAACACCGTAGGCGCAAACGAGTTGGGGCAGTTAAGGCTTATCGATTACTTATCTAAGTTTTCTACATGCCTATATTATAAAATAATAGCTGATCCGGCAAACGTTGTTTTGTGGAATTTCGTAAAATCCGTTCTTAGCTGACCTCTACTCGGCGAAAGGAATATTCCTATCAAATTTCAAGTCTCTACGCCTTATGGTTTCAGAGATATCGTGATGAATCAATTATTACCGTTAAACAAAATCGATAATTAAAAAAAATATTTTTCAAACAAACTAATTAAGTAAAAAAGAAACAAAATTTGTAACATCCTATACAACTCGCGCCAAAGCGTCGCATTACAAGCCTCTCCTTCTAACAGTAAGTTTTGTCTGTTTTAAATTAATTCAACCCATTCATATTTTTTGTGACCTTTACAAATGAACTTTACGTTACAGTTTTATACGTGAGGATGTTCTAAAATTGTTTGTTTTGGAAAATTTAATAACTCGGTAAATATTGATGTTTGAAGAATGTAAATGTTTAATACAATTTTAAAAAGTTATCAGTCATTTATTGTCGCGGTGGTAACAACACGCAGTATATATAGACTAGACTAGACGCGTGAAAGATGTGTTGAGACTACAATATTATAAGAGACTACAGTATTTACTAAGAGTTTAAAAGGATTTTCACAAGTAATGCTTCTAATTGAATAGAAATTAATTTGAAAATCCGAGTCCTTATAAGTGATAACTGGTTATATGCCTTTTCATAATAAGTGGTGGGACATTAAAAAATGGGTGCTATATATGTATAGCACCCATTCTTTAATGTCCCACCGTCGAAGAGTTAGACGCGAAATTTATATTTTTATGTTAATTGCGTTCAAAAATTCGAACTAAAACGAAAAAATTATTATTACGAAATTTTGTGTTTAAAAAGTAAATGTCTTTTTAAGTTTCAATTTTTAATGACATACATACAGATCTAACATACCCTGCATATTTTGTGGAGCCAGTTACACGCATACATTGTTTTACACTTATTATAAATAACGATGCATGGTTTTAATTTAGTATGCTGGTTAGGATATACACTTAATACAAAATTTTGAACCATAAACGTTTGTTAATGTATTGCATTAGCTATTAATGCTCTCCCTGCATCATTCTTCGTGTATATCACTACAAAAACCTCAATAGTGCAAACTACGAGAATCCAAAGTAGAACCTTTACATAAGTATTTTATTTTAATTGAGATGATTCGAAGGTTAAACATACCTAAGCCGAAATATCTTGGGAGGAATTTATCATAAATTAACACTGTATTCAAGATAAAGAAAGTATGTTTTCGTTATTAATCAATTCACAAAGCGTTCGCGACGAATCATACGAAATTAGATTACCTTTTAGCTGAATGTATTTACTGATTTTTCGGGAGTAATTTCAGTATAAATGAAACTAATTTTACGGATTTATCGCGTTTATTTTAATTTTAATTCCCGACGTTTCGAACCCTTTACAGCGTTCATGGTCCCGGGACAGACTGCGGCGTTAGACGTCTGATTGTCATAGTTAACCCGGGCTACCGTCAGTTTTTGTATTATTAATTTTGTGTCATCGCGTAAATACAAGAAATTATTATGTAATTTCAGAACAAATAAAGGTCACTTTATAATTCCAACAGCGCTACTCAGCCAACTGGGTGGACAATTTCAACCACACGCGTCTGCATCGGGGCTTGTGCCTGAACCGCAGCTGTACCGCGCAGGCGCCTTCGATTTCGACTCGACCACACTCCCAGCAAGAGCTCCAATCGTGGTATGAGCATGAACTGAGAGACTTCCTTACTATTCATTACTATTGATGCATCGATTTATTATTAAAATTAAATAAAAACCGCTTGTATACTATCCATGGTCATCAAGTGACCTCAAGGAATCAGCGGAACTCGCACAATTTTTATCTTTATACATGTCCCGACACATCTGTATGCATGTTACCTAATAAACGACAAACGCATAGGATATAGACGCCGATTATGGACAATTGCAACATGGATTGGGTCAGAGGGGGTGGGTCACGGTTACCGCACTGACCAGATGAAATGCATACTTTGGCAACTGTAGTGTAGGATCATATACATAATTTTACTGATTTAAGATTAGAGACTCCGATTTGTATGCAATGAATTAAGAAGCAAGAGCTCATATATCAGCTACTTGTATGATACCACTGATGAACGCATTAGTAAAAGTCTTTGCTCTCCTCTAGAAGGTTCTATGTTTTTATTATTATAGAGTTACGTAGCTACGAACAAAGAAGAACAAAGAAGCTGGTCTGCTAGTGAACAAGGTAAACGGAGAACTATTATTCTAAAGGCTATCCACGGATTTACAAACCTGTGGATGTTCATTATTCTAGTGTTAGATGTCCATTCTAGTTAGGCGATATCTTTTCGCCTTAAAGAAATGGAAGTATACTATTCGCCTGCAGGTTCTCGTCGTGCGTGAACACGACTGTACAAAACAGCTACGGTCTGCGCGCGCGACTGTACAACCTCGAGTACTGCAAGACCAGTTCGTCCAGTTCCGGTGGTCCCCTAACGGCCAACGAGAAGGCCTTCGCGGCCGCAGTGACCACGCTGCTGGCGCTCGCTGCAGTCAGCACCACTTTGGACCTCGCCCTCTCCGACCACAAGAGGAAGGGTGAGTACAAATTCTTTTTATGTGAAAACGTGGCAAGCGATCTGGCGGTTCGCCTCAACCGCCGCCCATGGACATTTGCAACACCCGTAGGGTCTCAGATGAGTCGCCACCTTTTAGTAAAGTGGGCCCCGGCTGCCTCACTCACCAGAAGAAACGCAGAAGTATAACACTTTCACTTCACGCCGGTCTTCTGTGAGCTCGTTGTACTTACCCGGACGGATTTGTATAACAACCGAAGCTGTTACTTGGCACCACCAACTTAGAAATTCGGTCTTCCTTTACCAGCTCATTTACAAGTTCACGAATATCTGAGCCCAAATTTCTCCTTCTAACCAAAAGGCAGGGCCGGATTTAGGGGAAGGCAACTGGGGCCTCCACAAGAGGAGCCCCCACAATAGAGACTTAGGAAAAAAATATTCAAATTCAGACTAGTAAACAAGTTCCGTTCGTTAACGCAAAAATTTAATTTTAGGTAACTCTTGTTTCCGATTATTATGTTCCGATATTTATATGTTCTTTAAACACTAAAAGGATTTATACGTGGTTTCATAACAAATTATTTATTGGAAATATCGACTGAAAAAAATTGTTCATTACATTTGGAAAATAATTTGGGGCCAAGATGCCTCCACTCTTAGTTGCCCCGAGGCCTCCAGACCTCTAAATCCGGCCCTGCCAAAAGGCCTCAACAGAGGCCATCACTTCCCCGTCATGTTAAAATTTCTTCACCCAAAGGTGTTCCGTTTCCGTCAGGTAGCGGTTACTGGGAGCTAGATCTGACAAATAGGGCGAGCGGAACAAGCAATTCGAATCCTGTTCCTTGAATTGCAGCCATCGCAACTTCGCGTTGTTTCGATGAAACAAGCCTGGCTCGCAGTTTGCTGCGTCTTTTTTCACGCAATATACTTATTTGGTCGTAGTAAGGGCCTGATATGATGGCTCCCTTTTCCAAATAGCCTGCCATAGTAACTCCTTCAGACTTTCAAAATATTGCGCGCTCTATTCCAAACTACACTGACGCTAAGAGGACCACTTCCAGGTCATCGATTCATGTTTGATGATTCCGGGTGAAAATAGTGTATCAATGTCTCGTCCGCGGTCATGAAATTTGACAAAAAAAAAGACTCACCTGATGCGCCTGGATCTTTCCGAGATTTGTCCTCGTAATGTCGACTCATTTCTCCTCTTACACGTCGAATAACATTCTCGGCGCCAAAAGCGCAGAGAGCTTCTATTGCTATCGTATTGCTGCCATACGCGATCGTGTCACTTTTAGATCTGCCAAAACGAGATCTACAAAAACGACTTCTTCCGCTTCTTTCAAGTTGCTTTTCCCACGTTGTCTTTAATGATGGACATGGACGGAAGTCCTTCATGGCGTTCATATTCATTGGATGTTCTTCCCACCTTTAAGTCTTTGGCCCAGTGTGCAGCGGTGGTATATAAAGGAGCAGAGCAAAGAGCAAAGTGCCCTAATGTTTCTACGAAATCGTTTTGTATGTCTGGTAAAGATTTTTTCAAACAGAGGTAACTTACTTAATAGACCTGTCATTTATTTTTCTTCTCTTTGATGTTCTTTCTTCTAGGCCTATTCATCTATGATTTTTAAGCTGGATATATGGAATAAAATTGTTTTTGGGAATTTTATGCGAAATGGTAATTACTGATTATCATTACTTTTAGTGTATTTATTAATTAGTGTTTATGATCTTTTTTAGCTTATTGCACCTACCACGATCTCTCTCCACGCCCCGGGTTGACTGGGAGAGAATGCCCAAATGGCATTAAGTCCGCCCTTTGTAATCCTTTTTTTAAGGTTTTGCAATAAAGCATAAATAAATAAATAAATAAATAAATAAATAAATAAATATTCCATCAAACAATAGAAAATTAAATGTACACAAATTGTTTCTCAGGCTATAACTTGTTTAATTTAGAAAAAATTTGGGGCTTAATTATTATTATAATATATATTACCATAGTCTATTATTGATGGTAGAAACACGTGATATTAAAGTCATGAGATATTTCACACCATTGTTTTTGAGCATTCGACTTAAATATGATTAAACATACTAATTTTAGTTATACAACTTTTGATTTTTCGCCTATCGATATAAAGTACTTTCGTATTATGTAAGACTACATTTCATAATTTCGTACTAGTTTTAAAACACATAAAATACATACGATATCACCTATCACAATGTAAGTATACAGATTGCCTAGACTCGAAACGATCGTGATTTAATGAATTAAAACAATTATTTGACACGAATATAGAAATACCAGCCTAATATAAGCCATCGATTGATAGCTCTTAATAACTGGCACGCGGTCTGGGCGAGCGGCGAACGTTTCGAGTTAGGCATTAGATAACCGTGGACCGGTCGCTATTGAGACACCGATTCTGTGCCAGAATTGAAGCTGATTTCTCTTCGGCGTCCCAATCGAGAGATCTGAAAGGGTTTTGGTTTTAAATAAGACATTCGTTTTTTGAATAATCCAAAGATGCTATTTTTTTTTATCGAGACAATGACACTAACATGGTTTTAATCTCTTAGCGCTTAATCGTCAATTCGAATTATTATTTTTTTAATTGGCTGCTGAACAAAAGATTATTATTGTTTTCGATTGTCACAAACGATTCAAACAGTAATTTCACAACGTCCCATAAACATTTTAGTCGAATTGTGTTACCCTGTTATTCTGTGTATGTCTGTGTTAAAAATAAAAAAAAATTCCTGAAAAGTTTGTAATAAAGAATGCTAATTTGTATCGAAACTATTGTATTCCAAAGTTATAAGTACTACTTTTGTTCTAATTATTATTTGATGTGAGAAAAGAGAAAACAACTTTTGTTCAGTGCACAAAACTATAACTAATTGAACACTCTTCATGCGAAGGAACTTATACGGACGATCATAAATAAATACCATCATTAAATAAAAGAAAAATAAAATGTTATTGTGAGTTTGCATAATACACAGTTGTGTAGTCTAAAAGTAAACATTAGTATAAATAACAAAACCATTGCAGCTTTTACGTTTAAATAATATAGTTTTGCTAACATTCCGCGTTGACACTTATTTATTTTATTATCTCATAGAATAATCCTTTCTGTGGACACAAGCAATAACTGTGTGTTAACTGAATATGTATTTTATTTAGTATATATATTAGCTGTGGTAGGGCTATACTTCCGCGTTGCGTATAGTGAGTGCGGTAGCCGGGGCCCACTTTATTAAAAGGTGGCAACGTGACATACGTGACATACGTAGCATGGGCGGATATCACTTAACATCAGGTGAACCGTCAGCTCGATTGCCACATTCTCACATAAAAAATGCATTTAACTTTTTTTCTATTGATGGTTCACCGTGTAGTTTATGAAGACAACATAACATAATTCTAATTCACGACGACTCGTTGGCGCAGTTGCTAAGCTATTTGTGTCAGGGGTCGTGGGATGTATTCCCGCAGGAGATAAGTGTTAGTGTTAATCACAGATAGTTATTGTCTCGTCAAGACCTCGGCCGAACCAATACGACTAAGAACATGATTCACATGATAAGAAGGCAGCAAACGACAATGTCACAATATAACGTAACTTTTAGGAGAAATTATAAATAAATACTTATTGAATGATTTGCAAGAACTGAAGTAAAATTATAAGAAATATCTCTCTTTAACTTTGTATTTTTTTCGTTAACACGAAAACATTTATTTTTGTAAAATTACTTAAAAAATACAATATAACAATTTTCCTTGTCTTTTATTATTTTATGCCAATTTATTTCCCGTTCCTGTGTTGTATTTTCAGGATCGTTTTTTCTCTCTATATTGAAAGCATTCAATAGTTCTCTTTGCAATATCTATCTAACATGCCGCAATAAAAGAAGTAAAAGCTCTTATTTCTCCTATTTTTTTTACTGACTTATAACTATGTTTGTACTGACATATACTAACGTAAGCAAGCAGGTAAGCAAAGACTTAAATATGCGCGTATTCAACCGTCTTATCTCATTCTTTTCAGCTAAATGGTAGACCTATCTACTTGAATGGCTCGTAATGATAGATAAACATATTTACATCTTTTAAAGTAAGCGCGATGTAACTAAAACGTAGTATTTATATTCTATTTGGTGATGGCAAATCCTTAAAGCTGAGAACTTTCGTTAGCCCAATCCGCTTATCTCTTAAATGATAAAAAAAATATTTTACAATGATTGAGGTCGGTATTGAGGTGAAAAGTTTATCCTAATCTTCATCATCATCATCATTTCAGCCTGTTTGAGTCCATTGCTGAACATAGGCCTCCCCCACAGACTGCCACGAAGTACGATCCTGAGCCACCTGCATCCATCGACTTCCCGCGCATTTGCACAGGTCGTCACTCCATCTAGTGGGGGGTCGTCCTACACTGCGATGGCCAGTACGAGGCTGCCACTCGAGAACCTTTCTTCCCCAACGGTTATCCTAATCTTACGTCCCACTAATTCATTAACTTATCGGCTGTCTCTACGCGATTGTCTAACACAACATTATATGCATTGTTTATATCTTACGTAACGATATATGAAATAAAGTGAAAAAGCTTGCGAGAATATCTGACAAAGTTCTCTGACCAAGGAACGTCGAAGCTACGTTTTTAGTTGCTCAAGCTGGCCTTGGCTCAAAAACTACCCAAACAGAAATGATGATTTGATTGGCATGACATATCATTTCAAAGCATATAATAATTGTTCCTCGTGTGGCCTGACATTACTTCTCCCGCCATAGTAGTCCTTCCTTTCTCCTGCTCTTATCCCACCTTTGTGTGCTTGGCACACCATGTAAATCATGTTTTCAAAGGTATTGTTCATTGCTAAGTTTTTTACGGCCGGCAACCTGCCTAACGGCTAAGAAATAAACACTTAGATCTGGAATAATTATCTTTGGGTCATACAAATACCTGTACCGCGTATGGGAATCGAACCCCTATAAGTAATCCCTAAAGCCGAGTCGTCCAGCCAAGTGACTTGCAAGTGCAGGGCAAGAGTCATTTCCACACAGCCTTGACCTCAATGTAATGAACTTGTTAATTTTAAATGTTGAATTTATCACGTGTTCATCGGTGAAGGAAAACATCGTGAGGAAACCTGCATATTTTCGAAATAATAACAAAAAAAAATATTTCGAAGATATGTGAAGTCCGCCAATCCGCAGTGGGTCCGCGTGGTGGACTATGCCCTGATTCCCTCCGTAAAAAAGAGGAGGCCTTTGCCCAGCAGTGGGATATGTATAGGCTGTTACTTTACTTTACTTTTTTTACCAAAAAAATATTTCTGAAGATATGTGAAGTCCACCAATCTTGGACTTTCCAATGGACTATGCGCTGATACCCTCGCTACAGACTACCTTTGCCCAGAAGTGGGCCATGTACAGGCTTGCTTTCTTCTTGTTGCTTTAATGTTCCTCCTTGGCCGTTTGAAAACATTGGGCTTGTTCCACGGCTAGGGGCGGGCTGGGCACTGTCTTGGTCTCTGCGCCAGTCGTGGCGCACCCTGACCGCGCCCCCGGCCTCGCCGGCCGACTGCGACCTCCGCTGCTTCGACGGCCTGCGGGTCTTCTCCATGCTGTGCGTCATCATAGAGCACGTCTGCTGGCTGGCGACGCTCTCCTACCTCGCCGACACGAGATACTACGAGCAGGCAAGCCGTTAGATCCACCAATAGTTTGGGAGCCACTGAGCTCGGTGAATTAGACTACTGGCTAGCTTTCTACCATGTTAGGATTAGAATTCATAGGAGTTATTTATTAAGAAGTGTCAGAACTACACCTGGGCCTACGGGAGGATCATGAGTTTAAACTTTCATTATTACTATCGGAATCTGTTGTTACACAGTCACTCAGCTCGGTGCAGTACAGACTACTAGCCCTTTCTGCAACGCTAGGGTAAGAATTCATAAGGGGTTTGTTATTAAGAAGTGTCAAAACTTCATCTGGGCCTACGGATAGGGAGGATCATGAGTTTAAACTTTCATTATTACTATCAGAATTTGTTGTTACTCCGCCTCTAAGCTCGGTGCAGTACAGACTACTAGCCCTTTCTGCATAATTAGGATTACAATTCATAGGAGTTCGTTATTAAGGAGTGTCAAAATTTCATCTAATCAAATCCTATTAATGCAGCGAAGATATCATCTGTGAATACAGATAGGGACTATCATTACAGTTTAAACTTTTATTATTACCAGCAGTATCTATTGTTACAGTGGGTCACTCAGTTTGGTGAAATGGATATTACTAGCTAGCTTTCTGCTATGTTAGGGTTAGAATTTTTGGGAGTTCGTTATTAAAAAGGGGTCAAAGTTTAATCTAATCAAATCCTATTATACAGCGAAGATAAGATGTCATCCGGGTCTACGTATAGGAACGATCATTAGAGCCTAAACTCGGGAGGATCAGTTCCTTTCAATCTCTCGGAAGAGTATGGAAGTCGTATTGTAATTATGGGTTTGAGCAAATTAACGCAAATAAATAATTTGATAGAAACGATCGAATAATACTTATACATGTAATAAAAAACCTGTACATATATTACTGGTGCCTAATACCATGACCATTATACTTTATCGACCAGGTATGACATCACCGCAATCACCATCTGCTGCAATAGGCCACGCTTGTTGGTGTGATACAGATTTCACGAAGTGATAGTATAATAAATAATACGTTGTGAGTAAACTTATATAGGTAGTCAGCGCACTTAACCTGTTTAAAACATACACAATAGTTTGGGAGCCACTGAGCTCAGTGAAATAGAATCTTCTGGTTAGCTTTCTACCGCGTTAGGCTTGGACTAGAGTTGGCGGGTCCGTTATTAGAAGGGGTCAAAACAAATACGACGAATACAGAAGCGGCGCGCCGGCGACGTGATGCTGATGACGAACAGCACGCTGGTGGTTCAGATCTTCTTCATAATGTCGAGCTTCCTGCTCGCGCACAAAATGCTGAGGGACCGCTCGCACTTGCCGCCGATACGGACCTTCGTTAACACGATGGTCAACAGGATCATCAGGTATTTTTGTTGCATTACTTCTGTTTGCTCTCAAAGATGACCTGTTCAAATTCATAAATACATCGTTATCCACCAGCCCTTAACCCACCTGGTTGGTGTTGGCACAACAAGCGAATATGTCGTAAGCTTTTTTTTCTACGTTTTTTACGACGGGCCGCCTGCCTGACGTCAACCCTCGGGAAACAAACACCCAGACCCGGGACAATTATTTGTGGGTCAAACAAATACTTGTGTGAGAATCGAACCCGTGTCGGAATCTCACCCACGACCCTCGACGCCGAAGCCAATAGCTCAACAACGGCGCCAACGAGTCGTTGAAAAAAAAGCATAAATAAGCAAATTATTAAATTTATTTACTCTTCTGTACTGCTGTTACTTTTTTCACCATCCACCATGATTATGTCACTCTAATGTCATTCATAACCGCCAATCGGCAAAGTCTGTCAATCCGCAGTGGGGTCGAGTGGTGGACTATGCCCTGATACCCTCAGTACAGAGGAGGCCCTTGCCCAGCAGTGGGACATATATGGGCTGTTACTTCTTCATTCTAATGAATTCAAGATTAGAGAAGTATTAACGACATCCCATATCTACATGCAATAAGATTGAGCCCGAGCTACTTCGCGGTGGTGTGGTTCGCGTCGAGCTGGTGGGAGAGGACCGGCAGCGGACCCCAATGGGGCCCCATGGTGGGCTCCGAGGCGAGGGTCTGCCGCCGAAAGTGGTGGACGCACCTCCTCTACCTCAACAACTTGGTCTACCCCGACGACAAATGCCTGATACAGACCTGGTGAGTACAAATTTGGTACCCAGCATTCAAAGTAGGGATATCGAAAAAATATCAATATAACGATATTTTTGATTTTATATATCGATATTTTCAGCCGATATATTCAATATCGAAAATCGTATCAAAAACATTTTAATTATAGTATAAAGATGATATTTTTTCATATTCGAATCCGGTACAGAGTCCGTAGGTGTCAAATATTTAAAACTTGACAGGTACCTTTTTTTGTTAACAACGGAGCATTTGCAACACCCATAAGGTGTTGCAAATGTCCATGGGCGGCAATTCTCACTTATCATCAAGTCAACCGCCAGCTCGCTTGCCACCTTCACTACATAATATAAAACAAAGTCCGGCTGTCTGTCCCTACGTATGCTTAGATCTTTAAAACTATGCAACGGATCTTGATGCGGTTTTTTTACTAGATAGAGTGATTCGAGGGGAAGGTTTATATGTATAATACATTGCAACCGTGCGCAGCCGGGACACGAATGACCTTACCGTACGCTGAAGGGCAGCTGGACGTTGTCATCGACCAGGATCGAAGTCAGATCCCCTTCAAAAGCAGTGCTCCTTAGGTACCTGGCAGCCGACACGCAGCTGTACGCCCTGGCCCTAGCTCTGACCCTGCTTCTGCGGAACCGCCGTGGGCCATAGCTGTGCTGGTGGCCCTGCTCCTCATCGCCACGGCGGTCACTTTGGGACTTGCGTACGCGTGGCATTTGGTGCCGACCTTCGTCACCCACCGGCCCGAGTGAGTGCCAAGTTTCTCTCTTCTTCTTTTCCGGGCAAAGTTGATATTTAAACTACATGCAACCAGTATTTGGCCACGTCAAAGAACTGGCGTCAAACAGTCTACGTAGGTGCAGGGGGGACACAACGGACATTGCAGTTTCTCTCTTGGCAGGGCCAGACCCGTTTAACGAACTAAGTGGAAGTAATGCTTTACACTATTCTTTTCTTGACACTATTCGTTTCAAATACTGTGGCAAACAGGACTCAATATGTAACGCAGTCAATTGTGACTCTCACAGTCGAGTCGTATTCCGGTTAAGAGAGAAACCTTCATCAATAACATTCTTCATTCGAACTCGGGTGTGCAATGCTCTCCAGATCAGTCCGAGCGACGTACAGCGGCGATGCGTCATTCAACGTGCTGTACCAGTCGCCGCTAGGAAATGCAGCCGGTGCGCTTTGCGGGCTGTTGTTGGCGCACGCGCACTACTCTCTGAAACGCGCGGGCGTACGTCCTGAGAATTGCCAGGTGAGTGTTTACAATCCTGCTAAGCTTTCATGCTTTCCTAGTACTTTTCACGATATATGTACTGTATAGTCAGTCGGCTTGTTGTCACGGCCGATTTCAATATTCTATGTAAAAATAGATTTGGTTACTAGCGATAACTATTTGACATTAGCTCCATAATACTTAGGCCCGAATTCTATCTCCAGTAATAAAATCTACATATAGAATATTGAAACCGCTCGTTAGAGTAGTAAGTCCAATTCGTTCATCTGTATTCATTATTACGATAATCTTTTAAAGGTTATTTCACAGCAGCTCCAATAATTAGACATTTTTTACTATGACAAGTTTTATAGCCTTTAATTTTGTGTGTAGTGATCGTGATTTTGATTTGGGCCAAATTCAAAATGAAAAGATATTATTAAAGTAGATGAAAATTTAATTTAAATATTATTCGTCGCAATTTTCGTCTATAATAAGTGACTGGACTTTTAATCGGGTAGCATATTTGTAAGTCGACTTACTTTAGTCTGTATTATCTGTACTATCTTGTATTATCTGATGTTTTTGCTTTCAGTCTCGAGACTATTAAAGCTTCATCTGACGCAGACTTTAGTACTAGCTAGGATCGCACATTTATAAGTCGCATACACAGAAATCCGAAATCCTATCACCAAAACGGATCTTTTATTATTTTATTTCAGTACAAGGATCGCATAAGTCCCTAATCGCAAATAATCCAATCACCAGAACGGAGCGATTTTATTCGACCCAATCGGCGTAGTGGATAGTGACCCTGTCTCTTGCTCCAGAGGGTGCGATACCCACTACTATTGTGTTATAGTGTATTTCTAGTGTCTAGATGTTTTTATATCTATAATATGTATTATTTGAATTGAGTAGAAGTATGTATAAGCTGAAGTAGCGATGAGCCCGCCAAACAGCTACCATATAGAACCGATAACCATTGGGGAAGTAAGGTTCTCGAGTGGCAGCCTCGTACTGGCCAGCGCAATGTAGGACGACCGCCCACTAGATGGAGTGACGACCTGTGCAAATGTGCGGGAAGTCGATGGATGCAGATGGCTCAGGATCGTACTTCGAGACAGTCTATGGGGGAGGCCTATGTTCGGACTCAAACAGGGTGAAATGATGATGATGATGATGTCTATCAATTACAGTATTCCATGACAAGCTTTGCTTAATTTGAGACTAGATTAACTTTGTGTAATGAATGTAAATATTTATATATTAGTACTAGGGTAGCATATTTGTATGAGGTCCGCGTTCGCAGATATTCCGCTGGATGTCAGTACTGGCGGCGCCGCTGGCGCTGTGGTGGGCGGCGCTGTCGCCGCTGCTGCTGCCGGCCGGGCCGCCTCCGCGCGGCGCGGCGGCTGCCCTCGCCGCCCTAGAGCGGCCCGTCTTCGCCTTTCTCTGCTCCGTCGCCCTACTGGGCGCTATAAACGGCGTCCGATGTATGTGTGCTTTTAATTTAATCCTGTAACGGTTTTCTAAAGCCAGTGGCCGATATACTGCAAAGCAGAGGTTAGCTTCGAAGGCATGTTTGTCTTGGGCAAGTAGCAGCATTAATTTGTCAGTTCTATCTAACGTTTTCAGAGACTAACGACGGTTTCAATATTCTATCTGTAGATTTGGCGACTAGCGATAAGTAACATTAGCTTCATAATAGTAACGTCAAAATTCTATCTTCAGTAACCAAATCTACAACAAATAGATTATAGATTACTGAAAACGGCCGTTAGAAGATGTCTCGGGAATAAATGTCGCGTTCTCTGTAATCAAAATAATATGCAACGATTGTTTAGCACCAGGCGAGCACATGCGGATGTGGCTATTAATTAACCTACCTGTATATATCGTAGGTAAATGATATCGTTGTGAAATGTGATATCGTTGTGAATTGTTAACGTCCACTGAATAAGCGAATATTAAACATCTAGTAGGTACCTAGATTTCCAAAACAAAACGTAATGCGAAATATCTAAATTAAAAAAAAATTCTTTAGTCTGTATGCAGCGTCTGAATTAACAAAAATCCTTTGTAAACTTGGTAAATGTTAAATTGTCAGGTACCAGGAGAGCATAAACTAAAGCTACCTTGGACTCCAACTAACCCTATTTTGTGAAAAAGCTTGGTAAACGTGTACCGAAAGGCCGGTCGGGTACTAGGAGTGCATAAACCAAAGCTACCCTCGAGTCCAACTAACTTATTTTGTCAAAAAACAATTAACGTTGATCGAAAAGTCGGTCGGGTACCAGGAGTGCATAAACTAAAGCTACCCTCAAGTCCAACTAACTTATTTTGTCAAAAAAAAAATTAAACGTTGATCGAAAAGCCGGTCGGGTACCAGGAGTGCATAACCGCGTGCCGTTCGCAGCGCCGTGGCGCACGTGGCTGTCGGGGCGCGGCTGGGCGGTGTGCGCGCGGCTCTCGTTCGGCGCGCTGCTGCTGCACATGCCGCTCAACAAGGCGCTCATCGCGGCCCGCTTGGCGCCCGCGCAAATCGACCGCCAGAACGCGGTGGGTGACACCCCTCCCTACATTCCCCATCCTGTTAGGGACGTCGAAAAAATAATATATCGAATAATATAAAATTTGATATATAATAATATAATAATAAAATATCGATATATCGATACTTTTGATGTCATATATTCAATATCGAAACTCAATACAAAATATTCAATATCGAAAATCTTATCAAAAACGTCATTTTTTCAAATTCTAATACAGCAGGGTCTCAAATATTTAATGGTTGACATACCCTTTCTTTTGGGACAAAGGGGTTTGTAGCCTGTCTATGATATATTTATTTTTTTGTTTCGATTTATCGACGCCGATATTGATATTATTATAAATATCGATATATTTCTTCACTTTCGACATCCATACATCCTATTAATTATTCTTTCCTCTCTCTTATTAAATTTAACAATTATTAGATATAGGATAGTAAATAGGGACGAACATAAACGTATCATCCTAGATTCTTTTAGGCTTTGCACTTCATTCAGGAACTAACGTTTTGTAACCAAATTATTTATTAGTACCCGGAGGAGCTTTGCTCGGTTTGTTTTTTTTTTTTTTGGTAAATCGTGTATTTTGCAAATTACATTTAGACACAAATTACTGAGTAATGAAATATGCATAATATTTTTCAATCTTACCGACGTAATAATAAGAAAATATGAACTGATGTTTTTTCACAAAAGAAAGAACTAAAAAAAAGGGAAAGAAATAACAAAATAACAAATCGACAAAAAATCAAAAATAAAGAAAGCAATGATCTGGAATCGAAAAAAAAGTGAAAAAATAAATGTGTAAATGATCGCGACGCGAACCACGGCCGTCTGTTTTGGGGCCGCCCGATTACCGACCGAGCTATTAGGACATTTTCTCTTGCGGCGAAATTTACTGTCATATTCGAATTATATTTTTCATTCCCTGAAAACAGGGATAAAAGGACATTTTCTAAAAATGAAATCTAACTAGATCGATTTTTCGCCCCCGAATCTACGCACATACTAAATTTCATGAAAATCGCTGGAGCCGTTTCCGAGATTCCGATTATATATATATATATATAAGAATTGCTCGTTTAAAGGATAAAAGAGATTAGAAAAGTTGCACGAGTAATAAACTCTTAAAATGCCACCACATATACATAAAAAACCCCAATTCCATATGCTATTTAGGCAGCGTTGTTGTCACGGGCTCCAAATATAGGGCAACGTATAACTGCTAGAAAAAGCGATTAAAAGGCTATTAAGTCAGGAACCCATGACCGATCGGTATGGCACTTAAGTGGTGCCGCAGAAGCGAAGTACGACCAGAAGGGCACCGGTACTTTTATTACCTAGGGAGTTTTATTGGGTCCAAAACTCGGAACATGGGGTCCCTTGGGTCCCCTACGTCCCCATAGGAAACCAGTCACCTTCTGAAGATATCACGGCCGATACCAAAAAAGGCTTAGACTATAAAATTACATCAGTTTACTCATTTACTCGGATGTAGGACGGCCCCCCACTAGACGGAGTGACGACCTGTGCAATTGTGCGACAGGTAAATCGATGCAGGTAGCTCAGGATCGTACTTCGTTGCAATCTATGGGGAAGGCCTATGTTCAGCAGTGGACTCAAACAGGCTTACATGATGATGATGACGTTTGGACCATTGAAAATTATTGATCACAAGATATACGAGTGGTTCGGTGTCGCCGCGGTGTCTTACGGGGCAGCGCTGCCGCTAGCGCTACTTGTGGAACTGCCGATGCTGCGCCTCCATCGGGAGCTGACGAGCACACGGAACGACGACCAGCCGCAAAAGACGGTGAGTTTCCATCTATAGGGCTCCGAAGAATAGCAAGCTGGTCCAATTGTTTCTTTAACGGCCCGTTTCAATATTCGATCTACGGATAGATTTGGTTACTGGGGATAGAATTTTACTTAGTACTAGCGACCCGACCCGGCTTCGCGCGTGCAATGTATTATACATATAAACCTTGACATTAATATTTATACGTAACTGACGTAACTCAATTGTTTTGCCTTCCCGGAACCCCTCCACTTAAACTTTATGGTATGGTATTAAATTTCAAATTTAATTAAGTATTATTACTAATCTTTTGTATGGGAATATAGAAAAGTATTGTTTTTAGACTTATTCAGGCAATTTTTAAAATTTTTCCTTCAAGAAATATAAAAAACGAATTAGCGAAATCAGCTCAGCTGTTCTCGAGATTTGCGCTTAGCAACAAATTCAGCGATTCATTTTTATATATAGAGATTAAGAAAATGAAGCTAATGTCAAATACATATCGTTACGTTGTCACCCATCTTTATATATATAATTCTTCTGTACGTGTGTATGTCACTGAACTCCTATTTAAAGGCTGGACCGATTTGAATTTTTGTGGTAGGGCCGCGCAGCAGCCTCGGCTGTTGCACGAATGGGCGGGCTCTTTCGGGTCAGTACCACGACCTCACAGAAGACTGGCGTGATGTGGAAGTATAATACTTTCGCGTTTCGTCTGGCGAGTGAGGTGGCCGGAGCCCAAATTTCAAAAGGTTGTCAACGCGTCTGGAACCCTCGGGTGTAGCAGATGTCCATGGTCGGCGGTATTCACTTAACATCAGGAGGTGAACCGCTTGCTCGCTTGGCAACTTTTCACAAAAAAAAATTCAACAATGAAATTTTGTGTGCGTCTTTAGTTGGATTCGAGAATGGTACAGTTCCACAATTTTTTTTTTAATTTACTAGTTATTTTCGGATTTCAGTCGTGTTTGCAGGACGCTAGTATAATTATATGATTGCAAACGTTAAATGTTATTCGGCTTTGCTACGTCATTTGGATTTGCCAATTTTTGACTAGCAAAACAGGAACTCCCTATAAAATTCCTTCAACGTGAATCACGAGCTAAGACGCAGCCATATGCTCCTGGTAGTATCTTTTTTTGAAAAGTTTTTTACCCCGTATGAAATAATTTTTTTAACGATTTTGTCTAATTTCTCTACAATCTCCAATTGCGACGTGGACATGTTTTTTTGGTACAAAGATAGATGATTTATAAATTTTTTGGTCAAAAACACTCATAAATTGTGGTGAATATTTGATAGTTTAGTCCAATTTTATCCGCCGCTAACAGTATTATTGTTTGTTGTACTTGGTCGAGCTTATTCCGAACTACGAACAACTGGCAATATCAAAAATTATTTAGTGTAATAAATTAATGTAATTAAATTAAATTCCATCTTACAGCTCCAGCAACCGCAAACATCCCACAAAGCAGATAAGACAGATATGTGAAGCGACGTCATTAAGTGGAAACGACACCAGAGATTAAATTAATAGAGAGCTCATGCTTTGATGTAACCATCAACAGACTGCAGCTCTTAATGTAGCCAGACTAAATTGAGTATTATAAGAAATAAATTGAGTATATTATAAGAAGTAAGGACCTGTGTTAGTATACTGACCAGTATACTGTACTTACAAATATCACAGTAAGGGATTATATTTTCAACAAGATTATTTACTATGTGGGCATGTACAATTAAGATTTAGGGTTTGGGTCTTCATAGTGTGTGAATCTCTTCCCTAAAGATGCATTTACAGATTATAACATATCTGTGCCATGTTGTATGCATCTTTATTTATGTATATTATATTTAAGTTTATGACAAATTGCTCATCAATTGTATGTCACCTGTCTCATTATTATCAGTTCTAATGCTTTATTATAGTAGTATAAAAAAAGTAATCCAATCCATTTATTTGAAGTTTCAGGTGATGTACAATGACTTTGTATTATCTTAAAAGTAAATACTAGTGTGAAATAATATTGAAGACAATTGAAAATATTTTTATCAAGTGAAATCTGGCAACCTTCATATCAAGAAAAGTATTAGTTATAATGATAGTTCTTACCAATTACTATTGGTTGCAACACCAAACAGCGACATGAAGGCCACAGATTAATATGTGCTTATCTAAATAATGTCCCTTTGAAACATGTAAATACATACTTAATATTAGATTGGGATGCTAAAATAAAATCATTCAATGCATACAACTTACTGAATTAAATTCAAAACATTAAAGGTGTAAATAGTCTCTCAAACATAGAAATCATTTTTCAATATAAAGTTAAAGCAATATTGGTATATCTAGTCTATTGATAATTATTATTATAACTAAAAGTATGTGAAAAAAGATAAATGAGAGGTGCTTCCCTGGAGGATACATATTTCTTAATAGGTTAGCTATTAATTTTAATTTAGTCTTTTAATTGAAAAATTAATATCAATTTAAACGAGATAAGACATTAATATTATATGATAATAAAAATGTTACTGACATTACACATTTTATGGAAGCACATAAGTGGCACACCAATGGTTCCCACAATTGACTGAGTTCCGACCCATCTAACAAAAATTTCTACTCTTGGGACCTACCTCTTGGCAGACTTAGAAGAGTGCATAAATATCAGATCCTATTAGGGAATCATGAAACTACTTAATGCTGTTCTAGCTGGAAATAAAACACATTATGTATCTTTCAAAGCTCACTTAATATTTGCTCATATTTTGGAAAAATTATGGCTTAGACAATTTTTTTATATCAATAAAATGTATTCAACATTTTGTTGATGAAATAGAGAATACTGAAAGTAAAAGAAGTATAAGTTTGTAGCTATAAATATGATAAATTGTAATGAGTAACAAAACTATGCATTCAACAGATGAAAAAGGGTACTATTGCTTCATAATTATTATTTAATTGTACCCTATAGTATTAAGGTGGTGATGAAAAAAATGTGTTATACAAATAAAAATATTAAAAAAAACATTGGAGACTTTTATATCTTTTAATTAGTCCACTTGCACAGAACATCATAATATCACACTCATACCTTACTTTTGGAATTATTAAAATGTGACGTCAGGTCAAATTCTTTTGATTTCAATTGAAATAAAAGTAATATGAAAATTTATTCAAAGAAACTAACTTAAACACTGCCTGAACTTGTAACAGATTTATAAATTACATGCCAAATCAATTTCCTGTAGACATGTCTAAACCAAATATAATATTGTCATCATAAGAGTTTAGACAGATGGCAATTTCAAAGAATTTTTTATCTTTGCTGTCACTCCAACTGCCCTTAAATAATTCCCACAGAGACACTTTACTTATGACTAAGAATTGTTACAGTCTACTGTTAAAATGTATGATAAAGCTAGTTGTTGGATAAAACAAGATATTAACGACGGGATGGTCCTGAACCTCCCTGCCAGCCTCCTCTGTGCCCCCCACCACGTCCACCCGCCCGGCCCCGACCAGCCGCTGAAAATTTTAATGAAAATACTAACTAGTATATCATAAAATTCATTTATATTACCCATATTGATATTTTTGCACAGTTGTTACAGGTGTAAAATTGATTTCTACTGTTGTTCTAATGTTTAAAAAAATATTTTCAAAAAAACTAATGTTAAAATTCTTTTGTACAATCATAAACATTATGTACAAAACATAAAATTTGTGAGTGGTACATTTTCATTACATTTCTTTAAGAAGGCAAAAAAAGAAAAATTACTTTGTATATAGCATTAAATTTCTATTCTAAAACTGACAGAGGAATAAAAAAAATAAATACTGAAATCTCTGAGTACAGCCATAAGTGAACTATGATGTAGGTTACTGTATCATAGTAGAAACTGATCTTTATAAAGTGCGAGGACATATTTGATTTTTCATCTGTATAAAAACATAAATGTCAAAACATTACTATCAGTTCTCTTCTATAAAGTTCGAATGAAATTAACAAAATTAATTATAAACTTCTGAGAATAATCCCAAACTAGTAACTACTAATAATATATATTATACAGATAATAATTATAAATTCAATATTAAGAGGATGAGACGATGGACAAGATGCATCAAGAAAATATTTCAGATTTAGATCAATTTTCAATTCAGCTCCTAACTTTTTATATTATTTGCACAAATTGAAAAATAGGTCCTAAGTTAAAACACTGTACACTTCATTGGAGTTATTGCTTATTTAATACAAGGTCGAGACATCTTGTATTTTCTTTATTAATACTTCTGGATAGAAATACAATAGCTTTTTTGTCAATACAAATAACACAAAACATTGTGTTATTAAATTCTATTATTTACCAACATAAATTTATATTTATGCAGTATGGTCTAATTTTGATTTTTCTGTGGTAAAAATTAAGGTAATACATTTTTTTAAATCGATAAAATCACATCTCAAAGTAACCTATAAACATAAGCTTTACATACACAAAATATTAAATATACATAGGTTGACATTAATCATCATTTGAATTAAAACTAAGAATGAAAACCTTATCATATTGTACATACCTTGTGCTCGTAATATTGCACTTTTACCCCGCCCCGCACTCGGTTTGTTTCCTTGTCGTTTGAACATTGGGGCATTCTTTAACATGTCAGGTAAAATGAGAAATCTTATCTTCGAACCTCTAATGTATACATTTTCAAGCTGGGCGACACGACCATCACGATAAGTAACTGTTACCAGCGTCATCTGACAATTCATATTATCTTCGGCTTCTATAAGTTTTCCGCGGTAAACTTCGCCGGTAATAGTTTCACAAGTCACTACATGGCCTTCTGCTTCGTGCAGTACTTTAATAGGAACACCAATGGACATCTTAATTATTTGCGATCACACAAATTTACAAAAATTGACCTAGATTTATTGATAACCTAGGATTAAAACCGATTTAATTCAAATTTCTTGAATAAATGACACGAACTAAAAACAAACAAATGGCGGATACAACACCCAGTGTTGCAAAAGTGTAAAATAAAAAATCGTTTAATTTGGCAACTGAAAATCGGGAAATTTTTATCCGGTATCAAACAAAAGTATTTTAGGTTAAATTACGTTTTATATATTGCATAGATATAAATTGATTAATTATTTCCGAGAACTGGTTAACGAGACACTTTTATCAGTTTTCATGAATGAACCGATTTTATTTGACGTTAAGACTGTTTTAAAGAGTTTAAATCGTTTGAATGATATTACATTTTATACATTTACAAATTAATAAATTTACAAAAAGAAGACAACTTAAACATCAAGTCAACTTCTACACCAACGCCCGGTTTCTAAAGCACTGATAATCGTAGATGTCAACTAATCAGCTGTCAAATGGCTAACTCTCTAATGGAATTGACTAGAATGATCTTCTTAATGATCAGAACGATCAATTTAAGGAGTTGAACCAATTAACCATCCTTTTGGCAACTTTAAATTTGAAAAGCCATTAGACAGCTGATTAGTTGACATCTACGATGATCAAGTGTTTCATAAACCGGGCGTAAGATTTACTGTTCACAAATTGCCAAACAAAACAAAATCAAAATAAAGCGAACCTAAACATGTAATTCGTAATCCAATAGTATCCAAATGTAATCCTTTTCTAAAAGTAGGAGTGAGCTATACTAGGTTAAATAGAGTACTTATTACGCCTGTTCTTGTTCCTTAAAAGTAACACTGGCAAATACCTGTTACAAAATAACAGCCTGTTATTTCATACTATGTTGTTATAATTTGTGTAACTCTATTGTAACGTCCGTACTTCTCTTTCTAACAAAGCTATAAGACCGATGCAAGACAAAGAAAGAGTTTGTAACAGTGACAGTGTTCAGTAATAACAGTTTTTATCTCTTTCTAACCAAGGTAACAGTCGTAAACATGAATAAAAAAAAGATTGTGACAGCGTGTTAGGGATTAACTTCTGTTGAACAGGAACTGTTAATTAAGTTTGTTCGTAACAGTTTCGTACAGTCTGTTATTTCGAGATACCTGTTATGTTAAATATGCCTCACTCCTATTTTATAGCAAGGGACGCTAGTGCAATGTCAAAATGTAATGAAATGTAACAAATGTCAAACTAAACAATTGTCAAAAGTCAAAAATCAAAAGTAATTGATAAACGTCTTCGTGGGCTATTCCGCCGTTTTAAATTAAAGTATACTTACTTTATTATTACTATTACTTATTATGTACTAGATATTTAAGTTGAAAAGTTTATAAAGGCAAAAATGGCAACGACACTCATGAAGGTTGAATTGGAAAGCGAGACTTGTTCGATATGCGGTACCACCGGCGATTTGCTAAGCCCCGAGGAACATGACGCTGGCTCACCACCTTTACAAGTACCCTTGCGGTCGATGCTACTGCAGCTTAACAACAACAAGGTAATTTTTCTTTTTCAATATTCATTTTAGTAGTAGCAGCGAAAATTGCCGCCAAAATTGCAGCTGGGCATTGAAATAGTTTTCTGACTAATTTGATGTTATGTCTTAAAATTTAAAGGTCGTCCCTGAAGGCAGGCTGTGCATGGAATGCATTCGTCGCGCTATAGAAGCATATGAATTTAGTACCGCGCTTAATACAAAAGCGACACCACCATTGAGCGAAAAAATAAGGGCTTTACGTCGGAAGCTACACGAGCTAACACAGAAGATCGATGTGTTCATTGTTGTGGGTGGACCAGGAGTAAACTCTGGTGGGTCTTACAGTGAAGATGACATTATAATGGTTGAAAGGGATGCATTAGCGGCTGCAGCAGCTGCAGACGATGAAGATTTAGAGCAAGCGAGAAATGCTTGTGGTGACACTGTCTATCAATGCTCTGTTTGCCCATTATCCTTCCAGGTCTGTTATATAACATTTATAATTTACATATTATTATTAAAAATATGCAACAATTAATTAAGTTCTCATCTGATAGAGACAACTTTATTAGAGTAACCTAGTATTACATATATTATAGAGATTGTGTGTTTGATTAGGCTTGTGTCTGCACTTCCGGTACATATGGTTGAAAAAATATGTCTTACTTGCCACTATGATAATATCATATAAAAAGACACAAATAAATCTTCTGTGAGATCATGCTACTGATGAGGTTGCACCTTCTCATAGTAGAAGCTGCTGAATACACCATTACAACAGCAATCTAGTCTAATAATCACCTTTCTCAGCGTGCAAGTGAGTATCGTGCACATATTGCCACGCACCCCGGAGGCGCTCGCCACTCCTGCTGGACATGTGGTGCACAGTTTGCCACACGTACGGCTCTTACTGAGCACTCAGTGCTGCATGCGGCACAAGATCTCTCTGGATCTGCTTGCCGTTTATGTCATACTGAGTTTCAGGTACAGTTTAATTTAACTTGTGGTAACTACACGCTGATAAAATCTTTTATTATTAAAATTACCTTGTGCCTCAAACGATGGTGTGTATTGATGTAGTATTATGTTAAATATTGTGGGATATTCATCATCTAACATTGTTTTTAATGGAAAAAGTTCATTTGTTCATTTGATAAAAGTCGAAAAATCGACACTTAAAACCTTTTTCCCTATAAAAGTAAGTTCTATCTTTAAAGAAACATTTTTTTAGATTATGGAATTCACTTCATCCAATTATCAGGGAATCTAAACAGGGAAACTATCTATTTTTAAGGAAAGAGTTAACAATCACTAAACGCGTTGCCACCTATAAATAAAGTGTGCCCTGGCGACCTCAGTCACCAGACGAAACACAGAAGTGTAACACTTCTACTCTATGCCGGTATTCTGTAAGTTCGTGGTACTTACCTAGAGGGACCTGCCCATTTGTGCCACAGTGAACAATGTTGCGTGGCACTACCACACGAGGCCCTACCACTATCTACTTGCCAATAATCATAAAAAAATATAAATGTTTAAAATAAATTTAAAACAAACTAAATCAATAAAAAAGATACAAAATTTGTATCATCCTATACTACTACAACTGACTGATTCATATATTCAAAGACTCATTCTTTGCCTCAACGTCGCATTAAAAGTCTCCCCTTCTAATGGTATATTTTATCTCTTATAAATAACTTTACATTACAATTTTATATGTACGGGTGTTCTAAAATTATTTGTTTTGAAAAATTTAATAAACTCTAAATATTGTTGTGTAAAGAAAGTTACGTCCGATTTCTGAAACACGTAACGATAATCGTCGATGTCATCAGCTGTCAAATGGCTTTTCAAATGTTGTTTGAGTTGCCAAAATGATTGTTAAACACTTTGAATTAGTCATAAGAAGATCATTCTGATCAATTCAAAGCGTTTAACAATACTTTTGGCAATTCAAATTATATTTGAAAAGCCATTTGACAGCTATTAGTGGACATCTACGATGATCAGTGTTATAGAAACCGGGCGTTAATGTTTAATACACTTTGAAAAAGTTATCCTCTACAATGAGCAGGGTCTTTGTACAAATCTTTCCCATATAAGCAAAAACACCCAATCGATTACGGCGTGATAATAATTGCAGTTTTTTTCATGTGAAAAGTTGCCAAGCGGGCAGACGGTGCACCTGATGTTAAGTGAACACCGTCGCCCATGGACATCTGTCACACCCGAGGGTTGCAGACGCGTTGACAACCCTTTGAAAAGTGGGCTCCGGCCACCTCACCCGCCAGACGGAACGCGAAAGTATTATTAATATTATACTACCTTGTATCTTGTAAAACATCAGTTAGTTTTTGCTTTCAGTCCCGAGACTATTAAAGCTTCATCTGACGCAGAACCGGTGGGCTAGCCAGAACCCACGGGTTTGGGCCCTCCGCTGTGGGTAGGGCCACGCATGTGATCATGCGTGCGTTTAACTATGGTGTGTCATCTAAGGGCCATCGAGGTCGTGGTTCGGACCGAAACCCCGATGGCCGTCGACTGTGCAATTAGCATTATACTAACACTTCACGCCGTTCTGTGAGGTCGCGGCACTCACGCGGACGGGCCCGCCCATTCGTGCGACAGCCGAGTGTGTGTGTGAGAGAGTGTGTGTGTGTGTGTGCGACAGCCGAGGCTGCCGCCCTACCGGCGCGAACGTTCCAGAGCGCGTCGGAGCTGCGCCGGCACGAGGCGGCGTGCGAGGCGCGCTGCCCCGTGTGCGGGGTGCGCTGCTCGTCGCGCTCCACGCTGGCGGCGCACGCGCAGAGCGCCCACTCGAGCGCGCCGCCGTACCTCTGCGCGGCGTGCTTCGCGCGCTTCGGCTCGCGCGAGCTGCTCGCCGCGCACCGGCTGCGCCACCGGCACGCGGACCGCTTCGTGTGCGGCTACGACGCGTGCATACTGCGCTTCGCCACCAGGTACCAGGGTCCACGGTGGCGCTTTATTGTGGTGGTTTCAAATATCTTTATTCAATATAGAAGCGTCACACTCGCTTATTGATTGTCAGACTACTACCGGTTCGGAAATGAAGCCACTGACTGAGTTGAGAGGAACCGGCGAATGAAACTCAGCGGGTCGTTATTTTTTTTTGTTTGGTGTTGACGATGGTGGTTCTGGATCTACCCGATAGATTGGGGTCGTACATTAATCGCGTGATGTTTTTAGCATTTTCTAACACAACCTGGTGATACTTGGTGATGTTTAAAACTAACCCCCTGCCACTACGAAAACACAATGCGCCATAGACACGCGAACGGCTTCGTCTGCGGCTAGACACGTGTATAGACCGCTTCGCGACCGGGTATCGGTGTGGACGATGGTGGTGTTCGATAGATTTGGGTCGTCTATTAATCACGTAATCTTTTATAAACACGTCACTTTGTGAACTCTTTGTATTTTTCAAAGTTCAAAATCTAAAATTGGCCCGGACTGTCCGGAGATACTTTAAGTTTACAGTTAAGACTATCAATGGTCCTCATATGATCTGCTACAGGAACGACCTGCTGTCGCACATCCGCAAGAGCCACGGGGGCGCAGGCGCCGACTCGGAGCCCGAGGCGGAGCCGCGGCCGGAGCCCCCGTCGCCGCCGCGGCAGCCCGAGCGCACGCCCTCCGTCGCCTGCCCGCACTGCCCGCGCAAGTGAGCTATACAACGATGTCGTTTTCCTTTCACGACCTGAATGGCGAAGTGGGTAGTGTACCTACTACTGCCTCCTGCGCCGGAGGATGTGGGTTCGATCCCCACTACTGGAAAAATATTGTCTGATGAACATTGTTTTTCTAGTGTCTGGGTGTTTATGTATGTATAGTATTTATTTATTTACAAAAGTATAGTATGTTTAAGTATGTTTATCAGTTATCTAGTACCCATAGTAGAAGCGTTGCTTAGTTTGGTACTACAGAACGTTAGGTAAAAATGTGTCCTAAATATTATTTTAACGAAAATGTCGCTCTTGACTTCCATCGACGACGGTAGTGAACCTACCTCTTGCGCAAGAGGGTGTGGATTCGATCCCCACCAATTCCTGGTGATGGATTCAATTCATGGTGCAGAACGGAGTTAAATGTGATTTCAATTGTGAACTGTATTTAATCACCAGTGGGAACACGCCACCGCTACCTTTTCAGTGCAACAGCATGAAGTAGTTAGTTAATTAAATATAGAAGCACTTACCCATTACACTTACCCATTTATGGCCAAAACTCTACCACCGGTTCGGAATAGAAAAGCCACTGACCTGAGAAGAATCGGCGACATGGGACATTATTTTGAGTTTCCGTACCGAAAGGGTAAAAGGGGACCCTATTACAAAAACTCCGCTGTCTGTCTGTCCGTCGTCTGTCTGTCGCCAGGCTGTATTTCATGAATTGTTATAGAATTTACAAAAAATACTAAAAAACAATCAAAAAATATTTAGGTAGGGTGCCCATACAACAGACATGATATTTTTTTGTCGTTTTTATAGATAATGGTACGGAACCCTTCGTGCGCGAGTCCAACTCGCACTTGGCTTTTTTTTACCATTATTTGAAAAAGAAACAGGTTTATAAATTTAATCCATTTGTTTCTCAACACGTAGATTCGGGTCTGTACCAGCCATGAAGCGTCACCAACGCGTGCATCGAAATGAAATACGCGTAACGCATGTAAGGAAACAAATAAGTCTTTTTTTACTCATATTTCATTCATTCAATAGATATAGTATAGTGATATAGATGATAGTAACAATTTTCTTCATGATAATTGAAATACAATCATTTTTATGTAAATTCAAATAATACTAAAAAATATATTTTTTTATGTGAGAAAGTGGCAAACGAGCTGGCAGTCTGGTCAGGTCTTGATGTTAAGTGATACTGGCTTTTTCAAATGTCCAGCCACCCATAGATATTTGGAAAACCTGTAGGGTTGCAAATGCGTTGCCACCTTTTAATGAAATGGGCCCGACACTCACCAGAAGATGAAACGCAGAAGTGTAATACTTCTACTTCACGTCGATCTTCGATGAGGTCATGGCACTAACCCGGATGGACCTGCCCATTCGTTCAACAGCGAACACTGTGGCGTGGTCCTACCACAGTAGATCCAGGTAAATAAAAATTGTAAGTCATCATGCCACACAAAATATTTGCTGGATAAAAAAGTTCAAACTCTTTTTTACTACAAAATATGAAAACGATAAGGTAAGGTTTATAGCGTTGTTAACATAATAATAATAAGTAAAGTCCTTATCAACCTGGTCAAGGAAGACGACAAACATACAATAATAAGGATGGATTCCGCATTCCGCAGGATAATCCGCAAGTCTTACTGTACATAAAAATATTTATATGAATATACAGTAAGACTCTGCAAACATAATTGACCTTTGTCTGGCCATTTTTTAACCTTTAATGTTATTCATTATATGTTCTATATCTGCTTTCATTTTGTAATTTTTATAATAAAAATATAAAACTTGCAAGCAATTCCATAATAAATATGTATGGAGAACCATAGTAGACATAGACATATTAATTGAATGTTGACATAATTTTTTTTTATTGCAGGGTGGCCTAGACTGGCAAGTGGATGGAGATGGAGAAATGGAGACAGGTGGAGAGGTGGAATACTTGGAAATGGATGCATTAGATGATGTGGATTATAGACCTGATGAAGATAAGGACGATCTGAACTGAGTAAATAAATAAGATCAAGAGATAAAAAATATTATTACTATGTGTGTAAAAATTTCTAGTGATGCAAAGTGTTTATAGAATAATATAAGCATTTCTGATAGTTTTTTTCTATGGTGTATTATTTCATGTCCATTAAATCGTTAGGTGGCTATCTAAACATAAAATTTTAGATTTTCAAAGTTTTTATGACTTATTCTGAACCTAATAAGAAAACAATTTTTTGGGTGAAGCAATCAAAACATTTGTAAGAATTGGCTGCCAACTTTTCTTTTCTAGAACTATCCAAAGGCAAGCCATGCAGTACTAAATCTAATATACAAATGAATGTATTGTTAGATTTTAACTACATAAATTAATTTTTAATGTTACAAATTGCATATACATTAATTATAATGTGCTGTTTATTCAAAAATAAAGGGTTTTTATTAGTTTGTCTTAATTATCAATTTCTCATTGAACACCTTTGGTTTTTTAAAGTGATATAACTTACAATTAACAATATAATTGAAATAATTAAAAAGAAAATAAAACATTCGTCATTAATGTAAATTTTTCTTGAAATGTAATAAAATATTAATAATATATTTTATGTGGCATAAACAAATAACCAAAGTAATATAATTATGGTTCTGTGAACCATTTATGTCCTATACTAATTGACAAATCAACAATCTCAATAATAAACTATGGGATATAAGTTAAGAAAACTACCAAAAGTCTGATGAAAAAGAATGGATGGATCGAATTTATAAAACATTATCAATAGAAAAAAAATAGAGTTGTGAATGTTGATCAGGAGTGAGGCGATCGTAACAGGTTATATTTACCTGTTACGAGATACATCAAGATAATCTTTAATAATTGTACCTTAATACACTGTCACATGCTTTTCTTTATTCATGCTTAAGACTGTTAAAAACTGTTACACCTTGTCACAGTTGTTACTGAACACTCACTGTTACAAGCTCTTTGTTTTTCTTGTAACGGTCTTATAGCCTTGTTATAGCTTGTTATAGCTGCTCTAGCTATCTTATAGCTGTTATTATGGTAACGGTTACATAAATTGTCACAACATAGTACGAAATAACAGGCTGTTATTTTGTAACATGTATTTGTTACTGTTACTTTTAAGAATGATTGTTCCTGACATGTGTAACAGGCACTCGATGTAACCTAGTATAGCTCACTCCTAGTTGATAGTAGATATGTCTTTTGACTATTGATAAATTAAGTTAGAATCGGTTTGGCTTCGTTTCAATCGCGTTGTTCTTTTGGCCGCTCACGACATATAATGGCGACTCGCCGTTTTCGCGGTAACCTTTTCCCGCGCCATATGCTGTCGTCCCCACCCAAGACAGCGTGCGAAAACTCGTAACGTGCTACGCCACTGGAAATAAATCAATTATATACATAAAAATGAATTCATATACGTTTTAATTAATTAGTATATGGTACAACACAAAAATCTAACGTGGAATAAAAATAAATTGACACAGCCTAAGATCAATGGGCGGCGGTTATCACTTAACACCTGATGAACTGCCATATCGCTTGCCACTTTCTCACATAAAAAAAGATTTATAAAGAACAGGTAGTTGTGAATTTATGTTATACTCCTCTCCTCACCTCATGACGTAGAGGCAGCGACGTTCTAGTAGAGCGTCTAATTGAAGGTCAGGTTTAGCTTCATGTACCAGCCGCATCACTGCACTTGAAAGAAGGCAGAGGCCGGCAATGGTGTCTCCACAAAACTAAAACAACCAATCCAATGGTAAACAATGCCCTATTCGAAGCTTGATTGAACTTTAAAGAAGCAAATACTTTGCGAAAACCATGCAGTAATTTCGGAAAGCGGCCTCTAATTTCGGCCTCTTAAAGGAGAGGTAAATTATAATTATATATAGACCTGGTAATCATTTGGACCGGATAGCAACTACAGAGGAAACTCAGGGATATAATTTGCGTCAATTATTATTTTTGAACTAAATTAAAAGAGACCATAGATATAAGTGACAGTACCCTCACAGCATCCACATGTGGCTTGATATAACCAGCAGCTGATAGGTCCAAAATGTGCGCTCGAGGAAGCAATTGGGTCTCAGGCCTGAAAGCCGTTTCATGAATGCGTCTCAAAATCGCAGCATTCTGATCGCTCCATCGGTCACGTTCAGTTTCTCGGTATCCTTCGATTGCCTGAAAATTATGAAGAATAAAAATTTTTAAATCTAAACTAAGCATGGTTCCATTAAAGTTATTGCTGAACTATTGCTTCAGGGATAATGAGTTTGGTAAATTATTTTTATTTTAATTTTAATTAATACTGAGTTAAAAAACTCTAACATTAGATGAGTCATAGATACTTTTGAGATTATATACTACATATTTTATATTATATATATTATTATTTAATAATATAATTGAAGGGCTGGCTCCTTAAAATTGCTAGTAGGAGTGATGCCAACAGAGATAATAGGTATGTACATTAAATAATAATTGTTCCCAATTGGGACAATCTTTATGAAATTTACATACATAAAAAATTCCTAAAATTCTGTATAACCTTAATCTACAGAGAGGAAAGATTGAAGAAATATGACAAAATATGACTGGCATATTTTATAATTATTCATACAGGAAGGCTTAGTTCATATGGTCAACCCAAGAGATAGGTATCTGCAAAACAATCAAAAATTTGTATTAAAATATCTCTGTGTACACATTTGTATTGTTTATTAAAGGTATTAAACAATAATGCAATAGATCATTCAAGTCTTAAGGAAGAGATATGTAGGGAACAACAAAAATAATGTTTTATATAACAATATTTGCTACTGATAACATTATTTTGATACTGAATATCAAAAGATAATCTTTAAAAATTATGATTTGAAACAAAACTTCTGCTACAACTAGTGTATAGTAAACACATTATAACACTTAATAAAATAAACTTTAGAAGGATGAATAAAACTAACATTATCCCAATGGTCATATTCATATCTCAATTTCTTGAGTTGTGGTTCAACTTCCGCAAGCAACGCAGATTCCTCCTCTTCGGTTACAAAATTAGGGAAAACCCTCATAGTACCAACAGCTTTTAAGCGTAATTCTGATTCCTCCGCAGGCCATGATGGCAATACTTCAATGAAATTTGGGTCTGATGCAGGACCTTTCAACATATAAGTTTTTAGCATATGGTTAAAAAGTACTGATTTAAGTAAGCAATATATTAGTCTAAAAGAATATAGATAAAACCTCTCATACTAAATAATAAAACTTAAAATTTCAAATTAATTCATGAAATGAATACTGAAACTGCATGTTTATTGTAAGCGTAGCACAAAAAAGTGTAAGGAAAATTTATGATTCTTTATAATAGTTTAACGGCGAAAAATTATGATGGAATAAAAACGTACAAGTTTTTATATCGTCAATTTTAAATTGTATAACATCACTTTTCAGTCTTCTTGGTATGGGATAGAGATAAACAGATTTAACTTTAAAATGACGAAGAATACTGAACATAACAATTCGCATTGCTAATATTGTAAATTTTAATACCAACAATAAATATCAGATATTAAACTAATATTTTCGATGACTCGAAAATGTCATTTTATATCTGACTTTTTGTTTTGAAAATACCATCGTCTCTATTGACAATCAGCTGTCTGTTCCAAAGAGAAAGTAATCACTACGTTTGGAATGTTCCTACTTGGGACAGACAATTTATCATTAGTTATACCGCCATTTTTTTTATCTTCAATCATCCGTATACGGGTCATCTACCTACGGACCTCTTCAAATAATGCTGTCAAAACCAGGCAAAATACACACAAATGGGGTGTAAATTAGGTACCTTATACCCGCCATAGCTAATTGGTGTTAGGTTAGACCAGCTGTTTATCTGTCAAATTGACAAACAAATTCGTCTTTGTTTACATCGCCCAAGGATTGAATTAGCGAAAAAAAGTTTAAATAATATGTGAGACATCACCCACAACAATAACAAAATTTTATGATGAATAGCTGACCAATGACCAATAACTATTCACGGACAAAATGTAAAATACAAGATTATAATAAAACTACATTTAAACCTGTATAGCATGGACTCTTTACCGGACGAGGTGCTTCTGATGATCTTCGAATTGATGCCTGCTCACGAGGTGTGTGCAGGGGTGTCACATGTGTGTCGACGCTGGGCCCGTGTGGCGCGGAGACGAGCCTTATTTTTACGCTATTCACGTCATATGAAACGCCTTAGATATCATCCCCGAGCTTTACTGGTTTCAGTGCATTTGTCAGCGCCGTATACTTTCTTCCAAACGTCTAACTCTACTCATTCCATGTCTCCAAGAGCTTAGTGTCCATTCAGAAATGCCTTTAACTGATAGTGAGATCAAGCTTTTAATGAGTCTTAATAGCCTAAGTCATCTAGATATATTTACGCGTTCACGCTTCCTGGGTTCATCTTTAATTCCAATCGCCAAACGCCTGAGTTCTCTAGTGATTAATGAGACCGTACCGCGTGGATTTTTACGCGCCTTAGTGGATTCGGCTCGATTCCGCGCCATTCATATGTATGGTCGCTCCTTGCATTACCCACGGCGCGATTTGATACTTTTACTACGGAGCAATGTCAATCAGCTTTGTGAACTAACCCTACGGTGTAACGAGTTGACGGATGCGATGTATGAAGTGATTGCATTGTGTTCAAATCTCAAGTCATTACAATTGTACTCTTGCTGGTTAATGACGAGAGTTGGAGCAAATCATTTAACAGGACTTAAAAAATTACGTTGTCTTCATATCACTGGCGCTCGTATGGTAAGTTTGAAATAATTTTTATTTGGAGAAATTAATTTAACCTGGCTTAAAAGACAATGTGTCTTAATATCTGTGGCGCTTCTATAGATGTTTAAGTGTATTGTGTATTCATTGCTCTGCCAAGTTTTCACTTTTAGTTTTAGTTGGGTTTGTTTAAGTCCAATATAATATTTACAATAACATATTATGTGGTTACCTTTATTGAGTTTACCATTGTCATCGTACTACTAAATATAAATGAAATCAAATTGATATAAACTTTTTGTTTATATACTGATATTTATAAACAAATGACAATTATTAAAATTACAAGAATCATAATTTTATGCATAAAATGCAATGTTTGTATAATTTAAAATCATTTATATTTTAGGTGAGGAACAAAGCTTTATCAGATTTGATATGTGATCTACCACAATTAATTGAGGAATTAGTATTGAGTGCATCATGGTTTAGTGATGAACATATACCTATGTTAAGAGAGAGGCTCCCAAAGCTGTATACACTCGAACTGTGGCGCTGTCGAGCTTCAGCTGATGGGCTAATGGAATTAGTGATGTCTTTGCCTGCTTTAGTAGAATTTGATACGGACATGATGCTTGGAGCGGATAATGTCCAGATCCTGTCAATACATCCATCATTGCAAAGAGTCAGATGTTGTTTAGACCCAATGTGTACAGATGTTAATTCAAGAGGTCAAAAACTGAAGTTTATGGCAGCTGATGCAATATATAGGAATGCTTTTTTACGAGGCGATGGTGAGGGCTACCGGGCAGATTTGTTTTACTATTGGACACAGAGAGTGCCATTGGAAACTCCAACAAACCCAACAAATTCCATACTATTAGATAGATGAAATAGTGTTATATTTCATAAGTAAATTATTTTTAGCATTTTAAACTGGGTCTGGTCAACAATACACCTTAATTTCTTCAAATCAACAATAATGCAATCAAATATTATTTGTTCCGTTTTATATTAAACTATAGGACCAGACCGACATTGACCTGTACACACAACTTAGATTCGACTACTTAGAAATTAAAAAAAATTGTAGTGAATAATTGTGAATCTAAACTATTTTCAAATGAACCTGAAGACACAAAAAATGTCATTAAAATCGGTCTAGCCGTTTAGGAAGAGTTCAGTGACATACACATGTACAGAAGTATTATATATATATTGAATATATTGAAGATTTTTGATTTTGAGATTGAGATATATTGAAAATAACAAAAACTGTTTCATTTTCGTTACTTTTAGTCCTTACCGTTTTGGAGTTGGATGTGAACAAGGAAAATGGAACTTGTCAGTTGAACATTACACATTTATATAGTACTAGTGGTCGCTGAGTGTTCGAAATTCGAACTTAATTAATTATGCATAGTAGTGTGCGTAACGTTTTTTTTTATTTATTTAAAGTATTTTTTATGCATAATTAAAAAACATATTAGCATTCTGCACCCCTTCTCTATATAAACTATAAGTGTGGGAAATTTAATACTCCTCCGTGCGCACAATTTTCGTAAAAAAGGGGTACAATGTTTTTGCTTCACGTATTAATATTTATAGACTATTGCGGTTTTGTTATAAATTAGTGCTGGACTTTAAAACCTAGTGGTAATCTTTGATATAGACAGGGTTCAGAAAAACTAAATGAGCAACTGTTTAGAGTACTTGGCCATTACCTTTACGTCTTCATTTGGGTGAGCCTAATCATACACTGAGCAGGTCTAATTTCAGGGTCAGGGTTCCTAATTTCATGTATTGGTTTAGGTTGTGCATGGTTTAGAGAGATTCGAACACACGCCGATTATCTAAAAAATTGTAAAGGAAAGTTTGTGACTATTATAATGTTAGTGATTATTTAAATGATAACACACCCTGGAAATGAAGTGATCGCTCCAGGCTCTTTCAAGTTGACTTCGATACATTTGTAAATATGTCTTTTTTTGACAAATAATGATAAAAAAAGTCCCGTTGAGTTTCTTTCGCCGGTTCTTCTCATTGGCTTTTCTTTCCGAACCGGTGGTAGCGTTTTGACAATCAATAAGTAAGTTTAGTGCTTCTATATTGAATATAGGTATTTGATTCGATTTGATTTGATCGGCCCCCCAAGCCACTTAGTCCCTCTGAATTCTGGAGCATCTTCGACGGTACCCGTTCTTATTGCGGGGCTATTGCATTAAGAATCTGGGTCGAACACTGGCAGGGCTGTACGTGGACGCAGATCGGTGGGGGTATGACGTGATGAGTCTTGACCCCACGCACAGCCGATGGGCGTCGCAGGCCGGATGCCGTAGACATACTACTTGGTCACCGATGGGATCTTCCATTAAAGCTCAAAGTGACCGATGAAAACGATATACGTGTATAGGGCTTAAACGCATTCGAGCCGACTGCGGGATATTAAAATCGAGATTGGAGACATTGAAAACGCCACTGTACGACTAATTGTAAGTCAAAATAATTGTTACGGAAGCTTTGTAGTAACGATGTTTATCGTACTTGACAACAGCTATTCCTTCGCTGATACACGAAAAGAAGCGCATGTCATTGGCAAGCGCCTTGCGTCACCAATATTAGTTACCATAACGCGTAATAACAATACGCCGAGGTTCAGGCTAGACGTCCCTAGCCCCAGGCCACCTCAAGTCCGTCGGATCTGTAAAGGCCCTTAAGGCCAACAGTGGCTCATCAAGCCAAAAAAAAATCATTGGCATCCCTACGCCAAATGGGACCAGAGATAATGGTGACTGTATTGAGAGTAGGATAAAAAATGCTCAATAATTTCATATTATTTCTGACGAGCATTAAAACCGAACGTCCTTCAAACTCACCTCACGGCGAACAGAGTCGGACAGAACAGTCTAATCGTCACTATACCGACTCTCATAAGCGCTGTAACGTAGGTTATTTTACGAGGACTTACAGTTACGTTGCCAACCTTATAAAAGTGGAGTCCCAGTCACCTCACTCACGTTGCTCACGTTATTTCGTAGATCATTAGGTCTGAAACTGTCTTTACGTGTGTTAAAATTTCGAGAGCTTTGGTCGGTGGCATAATAATTCACGATCACAATGAGGCAATTGGCATCAGCCGACACATTGTGTGTACTCTTTATTGATGAGGGGAAAGGCCTAGCCGTCCGTGACGTGTGCGTTGTTCATCAGTTGCGCTATTTGCTTGATTGTTGGTCGCGAGGTCGGCCTATATTTCTGTTGGCGTACCGATTGGCGAGAACAGCTGCTATTATTTACACGTAACACGTCAATGCCTTTGCTTAATCTAATGGATTATGCAGCGTTAACTGGACCTTTTCGGCTTCGAGAAATTTCTTGTATCTTGTATTAACTGATGTTTTTGCTTTCAGTCCCGAGACTATTAAAGCTTCATCTGACGCAGAACCGATGGGCTAGCCAGAACCCACAGGTTTGGGCCCTCCGCTGTGGGTAGGGCCACGCATGTGCTCATGCGTGCGTTTACTATGGTGTGTCATCTAAGGGCCATCGAGGTCGTGGTTCGGACCGAAACCCCGATGGCCGTCGACTGTGCAATTAGCTAATCGGTGGCTGGGGCGGTGAGAACCGCCCCGGAACGCGGGTGTACCTTGTGTACGCGTTGTGTTGGTCTCGCCGTGCTCGGAGGCGAGGGCGAACTAGTGTGTTTGTTGATGCACTAACTGTGGGTGTAGTGTTGTCCGGCAGGACCCCCGGCAGTGGGTCCGGCGTGTCTAAGTCCCCTTCCTCGACCGGGTCGATTAGGACGTTTCGCGGGCGACGCTTGTTGACGTTCGCGTTTTTTGTCGGGTTGGTAATTTGCTGCGCTTACCACCAGAGGGTTGGGATGATGTTCGGCTCTATCGAAGAACCGTTTGGTCAGGTCTTTAAAATATTCGCGAATCGTCGGGAGTCTGCAATCGCTGTGCAGGTCGACGTTGCGTTGATACCACTGCGCACCGGTTGCGCGGCGGATGAACTTATTTTGTACTATTTGCAACTTGTACAAGCGAGTAGGGTGCGTGTGGGCGAAGGTCATGCATGCGTAAGACATAATAGGTCGTACGCAGGTCTTATATAATAATAATTTGTGCCTTAAGGGCATTTTACTTTTAGCGTTAGTTAAGTTGTGTAGCCGGCCGGAGACGAACGCGGCTCTATTGCGAACGTTATTAATGTGCGTAGTAAATGACATACGCGAGTCGAAAGTGACTCCTAAGTATTTGACCTTTTTCTCCCAGGGGAGCGGTAGGCCATAAAGGGATATTTGCCCCAACTTTCTGCATTGACGAGGGCCATTATAAAGATGTGACGGGTAAGTACTTCGTGTGAAGTGAATCGCCACACTCTTTTCGGGATTTATTTCTATTCTCCATTTGCGGAACCAATCGCCGAGGCGGTCGGCAGCGCTTTGGAGTCGAGTGGTTAGTTGTCTAAGGTTGCGGTCTGAATAAAAGAGCGCCGTGTCATCCGCGAAAAGCGCGAGATTGACGTGGGGGTCTTTAGGTATATCGCTCGTGTAGAGCGTAAAGAGCAAAGGTGAGAGGCAGGAGCCTTGTGGTACGCCGGCGGTGAGGCGGCGGCTTGTGGAGAGGGTGCTTTCAACTCGATATCGAAAAGAGCGGTTCGACAGGAAGGCCTGGATGGTGTGTACGAGCCTATCTGGCACTTTGAGTGTGCGAGAAATTTCGCAACACTTGATGCTTCTAACGAAATCTCTAGCTCCTCTTGTGTGGGTACTCTATGTTATAAGTATATTATATTACTCTATAATTACTCCGTAATATGAAGTGGACGATCTGGTTTGGAAACGTTTATTATAGGGAAGCGCAACACTACATCGCGGCATTACCGTCACTACCGGTAAGACCACAACTACTAGTAAGGGCGGAACGTGGTTGTTACCTTGTTAATATACGATATTAACAAGGTAATCCGATCTCTCAGGACTACAGAACTTAGCCGTCTCCCCCTAGGCTGCGGGGTACCCACAAAGTGTTTGCTTACTAGACCTGCGTTAACATCAGGGCTGCTACTGTGGTAATTGTTCTAAAATAGCATGCGGCCGATTAAAATAAAGGAATATACCACTTTAATACCACTCCGCCAAGTACATCGGGACGTACGAATATTGTCGATTTTTTTTATTAACATAATAAAATATTTAAGAATACCAAAAAGACTAATGTATAAGAAGCTAATTTCATATTTTTTGTTCTTTAATTACACTGATTCGATTATTTTTTCTTAATTTCTCTGTTTGAGACGTGAACTCATGACATGCACATCTCTTGCCGCAGACTGTGACGATTTGTACAACACAGGATAATGTTTTTATTAGTAATTTTATTCCATTTTAATTTTTTACTAATACATCCGCAAAAACTTTGTGCGAATGCCGGGAATTTCTTGGATTGTACTCGGTTATTTATATATTCTTGGAATTTCAATTTACGGGAAGTCGGCCACGGTCAGTGGTCGCTGGGATGTAGAGCGAAACGTTTTTAAACCTTATTTTAATTGCCACCAAGACTGGGTTTCAAGGACACGATCTTCACCAATCGGCAGTTGGAAACGGCGCGGCTATGCGAGATGCGGATCATGATATGGAGCGTTTGTTTAGACGATGCGGCGGACCGTTACGTGGTTTATGGCGTGTAATATGCTGAGTTTGCGTTTCGTGACTTATCGCTTAACTGTGTTTAGAAGATTTCGAAACGTTTTATTCCGCGATCCAATATCCCGCCCATTTTTAGAAAAACGGAACGATGATGTTTTGTTGTCTTATAGTTAAAGATCGTGAGGAAACCCGCATATATCGAAATCAAAACAAAAGAAGTCGGTCAATCCGCA